TGGGACACACACACACACACACACACACACACACACACACACACCCACACACACACACACACACACACACACACATTTTATTCCAAAAAGGTTTTTTTCCCCATTTATTTACAAAACACATTCATGTTTTTTTTTTTTTGTTGATATTTTTGGTTCTAAACTAATTATTGCCGAACAAAATAACTTTTTATTCTGACATTTAATATGAATGAATATTGAGAAATAATATTGGTACAAAACTTTCAGCTCCTTCAAATATATACCATTTTCTACCATCGTATTACAATTTCGGACAAAATCTTCCAGGATTGCAGGAATGCTTGGCAAAGTAAGCTGGGAAAGAGTGTTCGACTCCACCGGGGTTAAACTTTCGTGACACCAGTCCGAGAACTTTTCAGACACTTGAAAATGCTACATCACAACAGACCCGCATCTGTTTACTCAGAAAATCCTTGTATTCAAGAAATGGTTAAAAGTGCCATAAAGGAGCCGACTCGGAGCTAATTCGGGAATGAAGTCTACTTCAAGTCAAAAGAATTGTGTTTTACCACCCCAACTGTCTAACGTGTATACGTGTGTGTGTTGTGAAACTTACACGTTTTCAACACGGACCCTCTGGTAATCAGAGAGAATGGCCCCCACAGATACTGCGTCGACACCCTCCTTTTCCTGTGGAGAGAATGAAGGAACCTTCAAATACAAAGCTCCCCCACACACGCCCGCCTCCACTCCATTTTCGACAATACGCGCGATACGTTCCGTAAAGGCAATGACGTTTGCGTCCCGCGGGTCTTCAACACTGTTTGCTCAACCTACAATGGTGTTTCTAATCTGACCCGGGCCACACACAAACACACGGTGACATGCACACGCACTCATGGCAAGTCTTTCCATTCACTGTCAGGATGTTTACATTCTGGTCATATCAAAGTCACCGTGGTTCAGCCCACTCTCCCTGGTGATGGATTTATTTATTCAGCTATGAGTCCACATGCTTATGACGCGTTAGCCTCAATTTCTTGATACCCTCACTCTCTTGAAAATATTGTCTGCTTATCTCCACCCAAAACTTTGACGGCTTTACAAATAGAAGCCATTTATTGTCATCCACCGCCATGTTATTTTTAGGTCCGACGCTACCGTTTGCAGATCACAATGTTGACGGACAAACAGAGATTTTCTTGAAACCGCTTTTGTGAAAAGAGTAACCCGCAAGTCGTGCCTTGGCTTGGGACCGCGCGCTTTGGAACTCCAAAGTGTCCAGTTTAGTGCAGTACTCCGTTTTCACTGCATCTTGAATAATTTATGTCCAACGATGGCAAGAGGTGATTACAGGACACCCTTGTTTCTCCTCCACGCTTGTTGTTTGTTCTTAGGTCCCGCTACAACTAACGTGTTCACTGCAATGGAGGGATGTAACGATAATATTGCCACAAGAGATATCATCTTGGTGTTAGCATATTAAAAAACGACTGTATTTTCCGCATTAAAAGAATGGGGTGTTGCTGCGGCGCGACGAGGGACACGTGCCGTTTATCGACGGGCTAAACGTGAAACAGGAGGAGGTGGGCGATCACCTGCGATTATTTCTCGGCTGCCAGCCAGCCCGACGCACTCGTGTAGGCGCCTTCCTCCCTCTGCGCTCCTTATCTCCTCATATTGTTCTCTGCTTCAATACCTTTGCCTCTGGCGTACCAGCGCTAAGCCGCAGATTCGCGATGAGGCCATTATTCTGCCTTTCTCGCTTTTCTTCTCCCCTCGTCCTATCAGTCACTTATCGAAATTCTTCGATTCCCGTGACTGCTTCACAAAGCCTCAAGAGAGAGTAAAACGACTGACCGTAAGGGAAAGGATTGCGATGCGCAGGGGCTGAAAGGAGGTGGGGTGGGGAGAGAAAGGGGAGGCCATCTCACCGAAGGCGGCGACTTTGATGAGTATCGCGTGGACGTCAGATGATATCATTTCTGAGAGTAGCAACTCCTGGTCTCGCCGCCACAGGTAGGCCAGAGGCTGCAAACCAAGACGCAAGCACCTGGTGGGGGGATGAAAGTGGGGGGAGAGGAGGTTGATTACAGGGGTGCCAAAAGTTTCGCTAAAGTTGCAGAGCTAAAGAGTTCAACCATGCCGCAAAATTAGATTCAGACTCATTGAAAGTCTGCATTGCGTTTTATGATTAAAAAAAAAAAAAAAAAATGAAAAATAAAAATTTTAAAAAG